TTCCCATTCAAATACTACCCAGATCTACTCCAGCTTAGTGTTTCTTGAGATCAGCTTCAATCAGCTAGATACTGCCATCTCAGCCGGGAAACATACTATTGCTTCCAAAAGCAATGCTAATTGCTATCTACTCATTAAAAACATTCCAACAAAATAATATGCCAATCCTGATTTCGACTGATTAACTGTTTTGAAAAGCCACAATTCTATATCACGTTATTGGGGCTGCATTATTCTGTTCTGTGCCCAATTTTCCTCCTTCAACATTTTTACGGGTTTACAATGAATGTTTATTCTCCTTCACTCTTTTCATCATTATTTTTCATTTGCTATAGATTGTACAGTAATTGAACCTCTAGTTTTGATATCTCACTGAAAGAAACAGAAATTCCTTTAAAACACACCCATAATATAACAGCTCAAGTGCAATAGAAGTTAATGACTGCGACCATGCGAGGGCAATCAGTGTTGTGATGTATATCATCTGTATGTAAATGCTTTGCATTTGTAACATAAATCTAGGAAAATATCATGGCTGTACAATGTCTTGCACTAGTTTCTGAAAAGTTCCATATATAGTTGTGTATAAGCCTATCTGTAGCTAAGCCAACCCTCGAATTTTTAACCAAAATATCATGAAAAATCTGCCACTCACGGATAAGCCAACCCGCATTTTTCATGGTATTTTGGTTAAAAATTCAAGGGTCAGTTTAGCCACGGATGGGCTTATATGCAAGCATATACAGGTACTTTTAAAAACTATCACTGTATATACTTGCGGATAAGCCCATCTGCGGATAAGCCAAAACCAATCTTGGGGTACATTTTGGCATCTAAAATTCTTGGCTCATCCGCGAATACATATGGTAGGTTTGGAGCACACAGGAGTACAAACGTAGCATGTGTCAGTGACTCATTAAATCAGCTGCAGCAACTTTTCTGCAAATTGAACCAAAAGTATTGTACAGGCCACGTCAGTGCCCAAACCCTAATAACAGCCAATCCTCTTGCCAGTTACACTTTGGAACAGTAATAGTATATTTACTTTCAAGAACTGTCTGAAAAGCAGACCAGGGTGCAAATTATCGAGGAACAATCTGCAATGGCAACAACACAAAAAGCCTTTCAAGAACAGAAAACAGGGAACTTCATCACTGAACAGACTCTTTCACTTAGGAGATTAACAGGAGGCAGCTGGTGCCACCGTTGGCAAGGATGCCTGATAACGCCCAGCTCTTTGTCTTCCAGCAGAATGGAAGAAATGCCAGAAGGACTGGTTAAAGGGGCTAGAATATAGAAATTTCATGCTAGGTCAGTGTTTTGCAACCCGGACAACTTTGAGATGCGTGGACTTCAATTCCTAGAATTCTAAGCAATAACCAAGCTGGCTGGAGAATTCTGGGAATTGAAGTCCACGCCTTTCTTTTAATGTTGAGGGCAGTAGAGGGGTCAGCAGCTTGGAGAACAATTTACAGTTAAAACAAAATCTTATGATAACCAGACAAAGATTTACAGGAACACTCAGAATGTGTGAAATTGGACTTTAAACAGTATAGCAGTCATTTGCAAGTCACAATTCCTTATGTCATTTTTAAGATTTACATCTTAACTTGCTTCTGAGATAATCCATTTTATTTATACATCATCTCTATGAGATGAGTCAGCACAAGAGGCAGTATCTTTGCCATGGATTAAAGCCACAGTTGAGCTGGAGATACTGTATAACCTAACCAAAGACCAGCATTAGTTATGACTTCACTTTTGCTCACAGGATACTAAACTCCAATTTAATCTTATTTCCTTAAAATCCAGAGTCTATAGCTTAAAGCCCAGGTGCAGGATGCAAAGTGAACATTCAAACAATCCAATGATTCTTCATCCTGGTTGTCTTTATTTGAAATAACTAGGTTTTTATTTATTTATTTAATTGATTTATGTAGCCACCTTACTGAACACATGACTAAGATTTTTTAGGAAACTGGCATAGTGTGACTGTACAAAACTTGACAAAGAATTTCTGCTGTGCCAACAATTTAAATTAAAACACTGGAGTTGTAATCTAATTTCTTATTTACATATTTATTTATTTATTAGATTATTTGGTTTTGCATACATGCACACATATATAACATAGGTAACTAATAAACTAGGATTTCCTTATACACATGAATCAAGAATCTCAGCAATTAAAGGAATCCTAGTTGGTTCTATAAGGTTTTTACAAAACAGTAAGTCCATTGAGCCATGAATTGATTAAATAAGCTGCAAATTTTCAGTCATATATGCAATTAAATGGGGCCTATTGAGCACAATAGGGCTTTTTTATAAGGAGACATTCATCCAATTTGTCCAGCATATTACAATGCTAAAAATACTCCCAGTCTAAAAAAAAAATGGGATTGCATTAAAAACAAGTTGGTACCCTTACATAAATTCAGACAATGCTAATTATTTTGAAACACCAGGCAGAGAATTTGTTTGAATGGGTGAATCAAACATCCAGACACGGTGTCTACTTGGAATTCAAAAGGAGTGCAATAATCTGTGAGCGTGGCCTACTTGTTCAAAGAGGGTGTTATGGAATCTTTTCTGACCCAGTAGTCACCTAACAGGTACTCTTCTATTTATTTAAAATGAAACATTAAAAAGTGCTCCCTAGTAACCAGTAACCCTGCAACTGAATGCTTGGGAAATTCTGAGTGTCTGCAATAATAGCTGTTAGTCCAAAACAGTACTTTGGGCAGGAAAGGTGATTATTCCAGATACAGGTGTTCAACCAGTTCTAGCTGGAATTGCTCTTTCTCAAAAGTCCAGTTTCAGAGCTTGGATCCCCTCTAAACAAACTCTGTAGAAGTTGCAGGACAGAGCAGACGTTGCCTCTAACATCCAGGCTAGACTACTGCAATGAACTTGATGAGGTGCTGTCTTTGAAGAAACAAGACAGGACTTTTTAAATGGTAGCCTCAGTTATTGTAATGATATGTGGGAATGACCTTGGGAGACAAGGCAAAGAGACGCAACCAAGGGAACGGTCAGATAAAAGGCAACTTAGCCCGCAGCAGGAATGTGGATGGGGCAAGCGGGTCAGAAGGGACCCTCCCTAGTTTCTTGGGCTGTAAAAGGGAGTGGAGGAGACGTACAAGATCCTGCTAATGTAACCTTACAATAGAGTAGAATTAGCTCTTCTGGCTGTGTTTCTTCTCTGGTCTACCTCACAAGGCTGACATCAATCTTGCAAGTCTGAAAGTACATTTCTCCCCCCCCCACTCCCCTTTACAGCCCAAGAAATTAGGGAGGATCCCTTCTGAGCCACTTGCCCCATCTACATTCCTGCTGTGGACTAAGTTGCCTTTTATCGGACCGCTCCCTTGGCTACGTCTCTTCGGCCTGTCTCCCAAGGTCATTCCCACATACCATTACAGTTATCTCCCACAAGCAGTAATGTTAGCTCCCACCCTTCTTTCTTTACTTGATACGAATCCAGCTCAGTTCGGTTTCAGTCTGTTTTTCATTCAGAAAAGCCGTTAATGCTTTTGCTGTATGCAGTTTTTAAATGGCTGTATGAATCCATTAAAAACCCAAGACCACTGGTTTGCTCTTGACCAAATGGGTATAATGCTCTTTCTGTTTGGGGGGACAGGTTACATTGATCTTCTAATGCTTCTTTCAGAATGCTTTATTTTGTTTATACTGTACTTTAAAAAAAATGTTTTAAAGTATCTTAGAATGCACTGGAATAAACGACAGCATCAACCAACATCATAGATAGCTGCAGAGAAAGTTCTACGAGCACTTCAGCCCTACCCATAGGAAGTTCGTATTTATAACAAAGACAAATGTAAGGAAAATCTTGGACGTCTTCATTGTGACTTCCTTCCTTTTTTCTACTGTGACACTACTTTCAAGTCATGACAGGCAAAATACGCAGCAGGGTACAATGGAGCTGAAAAACACTTCCAAGGGTGTTTACAACTATTGTTTCTGCAGCTGCTGCTAAAGATGGAGGCTTCTGAATGGGAGGGTAAGAAACCCCACCAACATGTCATCCCCTGGGGAGTTCAGGCATCTACTTGCAGGCTTTAAAGTAAGGACTTGAAGCGTCCCTCCAGACCTGTTGCACTGCAACTCTCAGCGTTCCTTACCACTTGTTGGCATTGCTGGGAGTTGTAGTTCAGAATCATTTACGGGGCTGCTGGTTCCCCACCCTTGCTTTAATATGCAAAACATCAGTAGTGCCTGGAGTAAGAATTTAGAACAAAGTTTCTTTCCATGAAAGTCCCATGCTGTAGTCTGTGTTCTAAACAACTGGCCTGGATCCCCAATTGTAAACAGCTTAGCCAGTTCATAGAAATTGATTGACGTTCCTGCTTAAAATCATTTCTCAACTGTTGGAAACAGCTGGGTTTAAAATGTGCATATATTTAAATAGACCAGTATATTCCCACCAGCGATGCCCTTCCTCCCTACCTCCACAGAAGCCTAACAAATGCAATGTCTCCCTTGCTTGTAAGGAAATAAAAGGCAGGGAGTAGTCAAGATCCATTTCTGTAAGTGCTTGCCACAGATATACAGGAAGCCAGGCTATGAAAAGCAAGTCGTACATTCAGGGCTGATTGTCATGCTGCACTCACAAAGCACAACGCCATCCAAAAGCAGCCTTTGTGTTGAACTTAAATAGAAATGGAGAAAAGGTGCTGTTTGCTACTTGGAAAAACTGCCAAGAAGAAATCACCTCCTTCAGTGAGGCCTATTTTACATCCACATCAGCAAAGAGAAGATCATATGACTAAAAAAAAAAAAGAGACAGAGAGAGACAGACAAGAGGAAAATAAAAGAGAAACACTGCCACTGGTCAGATGATGCAATAGGAAACAGCTATAACCAGAAAGCCCCAGGCAAAAATTTAAGTCAGCTCAACTGGCTGTAATTTATCTTGATTTTATCCAGATTCTTTTCTTACAGTAATTTCTATTTTCCAGCCAAGAAGAGTTGATGTAGGTTCTAGAATGCGAGAACCACTCCTCCAATGAAATAACTAACAAGGAAATTGTGATGAAGGGACACACACACACACACACACGGCGCCCGTCCTCCAGTGGAGCAATATGCTCAAAAAACCTCAAGTGACCTCAGACAGTTCAGCTTCTCTCAGAGGTTACTACAGTTCAGAGTTTAAAAATTCCAGTGCTGTGGAGCCGGAAGGAAGAAAAGGAATCCTTGGGTGGACTTCTTCACTCTGCTTAAAGCAGCAATGTTTCAAAAGTAGGCAAAAACATTTTTAATACTCAAAAGCAAAAAATCTTAATACTTTTAGCCAAAACTGAGAGATCTTATTTGCTCAGAGGAAAAAAAAAGGACTGCATGATGTTAGTTCATACAAAAAGGCAGGGCAGGCTCCAGGCTTACGAGCTGAAATGCTAGCCTGCATTATCATACCATTAACTTAACCCAGCAGTGCACATTTCACATGATTCCCAGTCTCTGATTCTAAAACTTTTCTTTTCCCTACACAGTGCATGCCTCATATTCAAGGTCACCCACCAGGATCCAGCCACTTTGGCCAAAGGGAAAATATCCAAAATCCATTTGAGGTAATACCTATATTAGCTCAACCTAAGGTTACATAACATTTTTATAACCTTGAGTTGGCCTAATAAGTGCATTGCCTTACTGGACTTTATGCAGCCCCCTCCTCCCCCCACCTGACAAAATCTGCCTACGTAATTCATCACAACCATCTATTATGGTGAACTCCTGATATTCATGTCCCTGGAATGTTCCACTTGGCGAAGGCAGGGGAAAATTGAACAATACCCTACATTGGCTTCCCAGTTTGGGAAGTATTGGCTAGAGTACATGGGGTCTTTCTTCCTGGTCCTGTCAGATACAACACAGATTAGGCTTGGCACACAAAGAAAAGGAGGCGGCAACTTTACATTAATGTGATGATGATTATATCCCATCAAGTTGGTGTCAAGTGACTACACAGATTTTCTCCACAACAATCTGTCTCTAATATGGTCCTTCAGGACTTCCAACCATTTGGATTAATATATCACATCCTTATATCTTGGCGATGTCTATCCCAGAAAAAACTTTTGTACAGAGAGAATACAATTGTGCCTACTGGCCATGTTGGTACAATAAGAATAAACTGTAGTTATTCCAATACAGACCAGCTGTAGTTAGACTTAGGCTTGCTTGCTTCCCTTTCTCTTTCCACTTCCCATGAAGTCAAGAGGACAATTCATTTGACTAAAGCTTCTTGTTTCATCTAAACCAAGAATTGTGGTTTCCTTCATTATTTGAAATACGCAAAATTTGAAATAGATATGTTAAACGAATGAACCCCAGTTCAGGTGCACCAACAAACTGTGGCTTGCTAAAAGTACATGAAAAACTCCCAAGGTCCTGCTCCCAGCATGCCACACCCCGGTAAGAGAATGGAGATGGCTCATGCACATGGCTCTAGATAGGGGACTGCATCTAATGACTTTATAAGCTACCCAAAAAGAGGCATCTCCCGCTAGTCACAGTGACAAGGCATGTGTTGTGATGTCACAAACAAGCTCCATCCTCATGTATTTGCACTACAACACTGTACATAAGGGGCAGAATTTCCATCACAATGTCACAATGCATGTTTGTCACTTGCCCCCCACCTTTGCTACCCCATGAACACTACCTGTCCAAGATCACAACTCTTTGGCTATCTTGATTGACATCATGACTTGAGTGAGTGGCCTGAGGTACTCCTTACCTCTATAAGAAGATTTCCCAAGCTCTTCATCAGCATCTCCAACGTTCCGTTAAGGTCCTTGAAAGTTGAATTGGAGGTGATCCCGTTCTGGAAGCACAAATGGAAGTTTATGATTAACTGATAGTTACTGCAATATGGAAGGAGTAGGGATCAGTTTTAATACGGACATATTGAATCTGGGGGAGGGAGGGGGGAGGGAGGGAAGATTTCCGACATTCCCTGCCAGCTTCCCACAAGGAAAGTCAATGGGAAAGCTGGAGGAAGTCGGAAGTCGCTCCCTCTCCTACTGCTTTTTTGCCCACCCGTGGTCATTCTGTTTCTCTGTTTAGGTAAGGAAATATCTCTGAAACGATGACCCAGTGGGTC